ACCAAGAACAATAACGTGGTAGAGGTCAGTTCAGTGGACCGTCGCCCAGTTCTGCAGAGAATTATAGAGACAGACCCCCTGCAACAGGGCCAGGTTCTGGCATCTGCCCTGAAGAATAAGAAGAAGATGCAGAAGCGTACAGGTGGGGGTGCTTGACTACCTCTGTGTTCTGAGAAGGGACTGCCCTGGTTAGGGGTCCCAAATTAACATCTTCCATGTATAGCGTTGGGTGGCTGGGATGGGCTAGGAGGCTTAGTTGTTAGCATGGTGTTTCTAAAACTTTAGCTTTTGTAAAAATCATTTGAAAGGTTGTTAAAAGCACAGATTTTGGGGCCATCCCGTTGGCTCAGAGGAATAAAGCACCTGCTTAGGCAGATGCAGGGACCGAAGTACGATCCCTGTGAGACCCTGTAGGCCCTGTACTAAAATACATTTAAAAAATCTCCACAGATTTCTGGACCCTTAACTAGAGTTTCTAGCTGAGCAGGTGAGCTGTAGGGCCAGAGGTGATGTTGATCTGAGGAACATACTTAAAGAACCACTGCCTAGGGGCCTGCCTGATAGCTCAGTAGGCTAAAGCACCTGCTTAGGCAGTGCACAGTGGCTGGGGTTCGATCCCTGGCATGCACGGTGATTGAGACTGGCATGGTGGCACACGCCTATAATCCCCAGCACTTGGGAGGCTGAAAACAGGATGATTACAATCAGTCCAGTCTACGTAGTAAGACTCTGTATACCCTACATCCCCTGTATGAAATGCAAAAAAAAAAAAAAAAAAAAAAAGAACCACTTCCTAGTCTCTGTGTCATAGTCACATTTTTCAGGTGCTTTTTAAAAATATATAAATGGAGCTGTGGATTGAACCCAGAGGCTTTGCACTGAGCTACATTTCCAGCTATTTTTAAATTTATTTTTTTGTAACATTTTTCAGATTTTGAGATAGGGTCTTGCCAAGCTGCACAGTGTGGTCTTGAACTTGTGATTCTCCTATCTAAGCCTCCCAGAGTCCTAAAGAATATACAGTGAAATTTCCCAATAGCTAGTCATCCAGTCCTTCCTCCATAGACAACCAGTTTTTTGTATTTCTTTTGTGAGAGATGTACACAAGCAAATACTTTCACAGTAGGACTGCTTGTCAACCCAAAAGTATTACGTATTTCACAATTAGTCACTCTTGCACTGGCTCCAAACTGACTCCTTGGAATCCAGATATAAATTACTCTTGAACTCCTACTCTTATTAGTGAGTAAGGAGAAGACAGATATTGATAGCAGAGAGCAATCACTGAAGACACAGCAAAGCACTGAGAAGAAACCTAATGTAGCCTGGGGTGATGGTTGGAGAGGTAATCAGAGCAGGCTTCTTAGAGGAGGTAAACTCAGAGAGAATCCAGAGAAACACCAGGGTGGTACAAGTCTTGAACATTTATGTTCAAAACTATTACTGCTGTGCTACTTCACTCAGAGCTTCTTATTTTTTTTTTTTTTTTTTTTTTTTGCAGAAGCAGGGATTGAACTCAGGCCCTCACACTTGCCAGGGAAGCACTTATTCCACTGAGCCATCTCCCTGGCCCTAGAGCTTCTTTTTTTTTAACATTTATTTATTGTGTGTGTGTGTGTGTGTGTGTGTGTGTGTGGCCAGCTCAGCCCACCAGGGGGCGGGGCTGGCTGGCATGTGGTGCTGGGGGATTGAACCGCGGTCCCTGTGCTTTGCCAAGCTTGTTCCAAGTAGGTGCTTTAGACCACTGAGCCATCTCTCCAGCCCCCCCTAGAGCTTCTTTTTATATAAATATTTTTATGTATTTAGTACAGGGTCTATAGGGTCTCACTATGTAAATGGGACTCATAGTGATCCTCCTGTTTTTTTTTTTCCAGAACTGGGGATTGAATTTAGGTCCTTGTGCTTGCCAGGGAAGTGTTTATTCCACTGAGTCATCTCCCCGGCCCCTTAAAATTTTATTCTTAAGTGTACAACAGACTCCAAGAACACACTTTGTTCTAGTTATAGGTGTCAAGAGATGTTATGGCAGAGAATCCAGATATTTGAATAGGAATGGAATCCAGGATCAACATCATCTTAGGCACAAGGAACAGTTTATTTTTTGCCAGATTTCTTTAGTTCACCTGTTGCCTGGGGGCCCTTTCCCATGGACTTTATGTTTAGCTCCTCAAGTTTCTTCTGCTCTCTCTTTTTTTTTTTAAGAGAAGGATCTACGGGGTGTTGAGGGTCTCACTACTAGATCGGGCTCATGGTGATCCGCCTGTTCACAGCCTCCCAAGAGCTAGGATTACAGGCTCGCACCACCACACTCAGTCTCAATTGCTGTCTCAATGTGCCCTAGGTGCGGGGCCAGCTTGGTAGGCCTGAGGATTGAACCCCCTAGCCCCTGTGCCTGCTTGCACAGGGGCTAGGGGAGCTTTAATCTGGAGTTATTTGGCTGGCCCTCTGCTGTTTTTGCTTCTGTTTGAATGCTTTGAGGGTAATAGTGGAAAACTACATTCAGCACAATATCAAAAATTTATTGTTTTGATATTTGGAAGGGACAAAAATACTTGGAGCCACATGAGTCTAAAACCTGGCACAGAACCTGTGTTGGGATGAGCACAGATATACAAATGGATCTACCCATGGGGTTGAATGGCTTCAGACATCCCACTAGTTTTGTTTAGTGTTTGAAGGGTAAGTGAGCCTGAATGGAAGCTTGATACAGACAAAGCTCGCTATAGACTACCTCTGGCAGGCCTTCAGTTTCCAATCCAGTTACCAAAAGATTGTGTTTTTACATTTACAGACAAAATTGCCAGCAAGCTTTCTGATTCCATGATGTCTATCCTGGACCTTTCTGGCAATGCTGATAACAGTGCTGGTGACTAATCCAATGATCTCATTCCCTTCCCCAAGCCGTGGTTCCTGTGGGATGGAAGAAAAGAGTTTGGGTCTCTGAAGTACCTGTATAATAAAAGAACCTCTTGCATACCATGTGTCCTCTCCCTTCACTGTTTCCTCTATTCTCTCCAATTTAAAAAAATCTGGAGCCACTAAGTCTAGTAACTTTTATTTAATCCCTACTGTGTTTTATGAGAGACATAAAATACTAGTGGAGCCCAGGTGCTAAATAGTTTTATCTCTCACCCTCTATTGTGTATTGGGTTGACTTGAAGGCTGGATTACAACAAACCCTCTTGGACAACTGAATGTACAGCTAGATAATGGACTGCTGATAGACCTGATGGTTTCTGGGAAGATATTTTCTTTATTACTGTGTAAGAGATTTCAGCACCAAGGCATTTCAGTAGTGGATTCCTGGCCATGCATCGTTCAAGTCCATAGGTCTTCACCTGGGTGGCAGAGGGAACAATGATGTGATTTCTGTTTTGGGAAGGGTCTGGGGCTAGGATACTGGGAAAAAAGGACAAGCCTATCTGGTGCTCAAGTGTTGTAGATGCTATCTTGTTTGCATAAAGAGAAAAAGCATTTATTGTTAGGCTAGGGACCTTAGTTACAAGTACTGTTGGCATTTTTGTGAATTTGGGGGCCCCTCTAAAATACTCTAGCTGAAACTTGTTTGTATGATTGTCTTGAGTGTTTTCAAGAGAACTGTATTTGGAGATGTACCAGTCAACCTTTTCCAGTGTGTGGTGGATCGACAAATGGTCAAAGAGTAACACTCAGATGAACTAAATTCAGCATGGTGCTGGGTGTGGAAGGCCCACCTGAGGATTGTTACCAACATCACAAACTGGAGAGGAAGGAGGTGTGCTGTTGATTCTTCCTGGAGAAGCTTGTCATTCTGGCTTTCCTGATATGGACTCAGGAGCTCACTGTCACTGAGGATGGCTGTGGTTCTTTTGAATGTTTCTTCCTTGCTCCTGAGCAGATCACTCAGCCCACCAGCACAGACTTCTGGCTTCCACCACTGACCTTGGGGCCTTCACAGTGCAGATCCTTTATATAGACGTATGAGACATTGTGATGGCACTAGGCCTCTAGCTGGACTTCTGGAGTACATTGTCATGTGCTCTAGGTCTTCATTTGGATTCTTGCAAGACATTGCCATGGGATCCAGGCTTTCAGCTGGATTCTTTGGGTCTCTAATATGTGAACAGATTTCCTATATTCTGCACTTCACTTTTTCATAAATATTATAAAATCTTATAAATTATGTGTCCTGTATTCCTTTCCCTTGCAAACCCTGACTACAACACAGTCATTTATTAGACATCCTGTTAAAATATAATTACCGCTTCTGGCAAGCACCTAGTCCATCAGACAGGTAGTGGGCCTAAGTAATGCTAAGGGTACTCTGTTAACTTTCCATTAAAAATTTTTTTTGTATTTTTTTTAGGGAGGGTCTACAGGGTGTTCAGGGTCTCACTACTAAACTGGACTCGTAGTGATCTGCCTGTTTACAGCCTCCCAAGAGCTAGGATTACAGGTGCGTGCCACCACACCTAGTCTCAATTGCTATCTCAGCACGCCCCAGGTGTGGGACTGGCACAGCAGGCCCAGGGATTGACTTTATGTGCCTGCTTGCAGGTGCTTTAATCCGCTGAGCTATTTGGAGCCCTAAAGTTTTATTTTAAAGCAAAAATAGGCTAGGGGGATAGCTTGGCGGCATAAGGGCCTGCCTGGCAAGCATGAAGACCTATATTTGATCCCTAGTACCATAGGCTGTGCCCCGTGTTGGAACCCTGGGAGTAGTGGTGCACTCCTATAATCCCAGCACTAGGGAGCTCCTCTTCCTCCCCTCCCCCCCTTTTCAAGAGTTAACCCCCAATAACCTTGTGATCTACCACCTTACCCCACCTATTAAAGTTTTCTCTATCTTCTAATATTGTGACACTGACCAAGACTAACACATTGGTGTTAGTCTTTAGGTGCCATTTAAGATGCAAACTGTAGCAAGCCCTCAGAAAAGGACTGGGATAGATGATTGCAACTGAAGTAGTCTTGCTTTAGGTAGTTTTGGTTTCTGTACATGATTTCGGTTTCATGCACTCTACCTGAGAGGATACTTTTGAAGGGGTTTGGCATTGTATGATTCAGCCTCTTTGCAACCCACCAAACTTCCACACCATCCTTGGACTCATGGGTACACGTTAACCTTTGCTTTTGCCTCTGCCTCTTCAACTGGCAGCCCCTAATTTACCTAACGAGATTCTAAGGGCAAAAACGTGTGACTGGACCTAAAAAGCCATTGACTATAAGCTATTCAGGCCAGCAAGAGCAGACCATTTCTGTGTTGAAGGGGAGCCAAAGGAGAGAATTACATAATGATTAAATGTAAACCTTATCAAGCTTTGGAAATCAGTCATCTTTAACCTCAGTACAGTTCTGACAATAAAGGATTGTTCTAAGAAAAATAAGTAGGCTCACAATGTTGACAGGATATTCCCAAGACAACAAACATTAAGGGCTGATACTAGCTTGGAAACCAAGTGTGATGCTTTTTTTTTTTTTTTGAGTAGCAGAGATGATACTGGGGATTGAACCCATGGCATTACACATACTGGGCAAGTACTCTTTAACATCTTACTGCTGAGTGACAGTCCAATCATTTTTCCTTTTAAAATTTTGAGACAGGGACTCATTTAATTGCCCAGGTTGACCTTGAACTTTCTATCCTGCTTCAGCTGGGGTTACAGGTATGTGCTATTATATCTGGCTCCAAGTGAGATGAAAACCCTATGCAGGACTTCCTACATTGTACTATCTTAACAAAGGCATATTAAGTACTTTATGCTAATTTCTATTGTCAAGTGCTTTGAATGCAATTTCTTTTGCTGTAAGAATCTATTGTCTTATTTAAATTAGGTTGTCATAGTCTCATTAGATGAGATCCAATGTAGTTTTCACTCATTACCAACTCTCCTGGTAGATAATAGTGCTCCAGGATAATTTGTGCATCCCTGCCTGCCTTTCTGAGACAGGATCTTATTGTATACTTCCAGACTGGGCTTGAACACACTGTGTAGCCTAGGCTGACCTCAAACTCGTGGCAATCCTCCTGCCTCAGCCTCCCAAGTGCTAGTATCGTAGGTTGGGACCAACCACTTTATAAACATAGAATTTTTTTTTTATTTTAGGGAAGGGTCTACAGGGTGTTTAGGGCATCACTACTAGATCTGACGCAGTGATTCGCCTGTTTACAGCCTCCCAAAAGCTGGGATTACAGGCGTGCATGCCATCATGCCCAGTCTCAATCGCTGTCTCAGCATGCTGTAGGGGTAGGGCTGGATCGGCAAGCCTGGGGATTGAATCCCTGGCCCCTGCGCCTGCTTGCAGGTGCTTTAATCCACTGAGCTATTTGGCCAGGCCTAGGAATTTTGTAATTTAATGCTATTTTTTAAAATA